ACTACATGCCTTTGGATTGATATGCAGTATAACTCCTTAGCACTGAGCCACCAGAGCTCCCTAATATGGGATGGTCCCATGGAGCTATGAACCCTGATCACTTACTCAGAGCCCAGAATGGTAACCATTACATCCTGGAACCACCTTAAGTATATATTATTTCTTGAAAATGTGCAATGAAATTATTATTTTAATAAGCAGGAGAATGAAAATGAGAAATCCATCTTTCCCCTGGAAGTCGGAATCAAGGAGAATGAAAAATTCTGTTCTTCATTTTATCCCTTTTGATCAAGATTGTTCTTTGGAATCTTTGATCAAAATTTTAAGTAATAGTAGTTGCGCACCATCCAGCTCTTCTAGTTTTCTGGCAAAGAAGTCATTGTTAGTGGAAGCAGTTAGCCCACATCTCATATCCTCCTCTTCTCTTTCCTGTGTTGTTCCAAGTGAATAAACACTTTAAAACATTTCCTATGATCAACAGTTGTATTTATCCCACCAGATGCTCTGCTGGAGAAAAAGGAGCAATCTCCACCTGTGCCAGTTGGATTCGATTCAGTGGTACACAACAAGAAAAGGGGGGGAGTCATATTTAAGATGAAGATCATTTTAGGAGCAGAGGGAAAAACAAAGTTTCATCCTCTGTTACTTTGTGAAGGATGACAGTTGGTAAAAATATGGTAAAAATAAGGAATCCTACCTTGGTCATTAGAAATGCTGAGCAAACCACAATGAGAAACCACTTCACTTCCTACCTACTAGAATGGCTGTAATAAACCCAGAAAATAGTGTTGGCAAAGATGTGAGAAAATTGGAATCCTATCCATTGATAATGGGAATGCAAAGTAGTATAGCTTCTGTGAAAATCCATTTGGTATTTCCTTAAAAAGTGGAGTTACTATCCAAGTCATTGCTCTTGGAGTCAGAACTTACTCATAGCTGACCCTCCAACTAGTTTTCAGAGACTAAATTTTATGGTAGGAAATGATCCATCTTTCTTCCAGAGTGACTTGTGGAGTTGAGCTACTAGAGAGGCTTGGCCTTTAGGCTAGCAGCTCAACTCTTTGTGGACTTTGCCTCTAGAACTCCTCTTGTTGTTGTTGTGTACCATCGAGTCAGAAACAACTGATAGTTAGCCCTCTGGGTTTCCAGAGATTGGAGATTGCTTGGGAGGAGATTGCCCATCGTTCTTCTGTGGAACAGGACCTTACCAACTAAGCCACCAGAGCACCCTAGAATTACTAAATGAATCAGCAGTCTCAATCCTAGCTTATATGGGGGAAAAGAAGAATGAAGGCAGGAATGCCAATAGAAATCTGAATATAGATAAAATGTCTGTGGATGATAGTGTGTAAACCATTATGACTGTAAACTTTCAGTGGAATAAATAAATGAAAAAAATTAAGTAAAAACTGTGAATGAGGAGTGGAAAAGTGTGTACAACAGTGGTCATTGTAAAAGAAAGAAAAAAAAAAACCACAAAAAAAACCTCTTCATTGCAAAACTATTCACATCCTCCAAGAGGTGCAAACAACCCAAATGTTCTGTCAGTAATGAATGGATAAACAAAATGTGGTATGTGTACACACAACAGAGTATTATTCAGCCGTAAAGGTCTGTTTGTGCTACCACATGATTGAAACGTGAAAACATTGTGCTGAGTGAAATAAGTCACAGAAAGACAAATCATGTATGACTCCACTTAAATGAAATAGGTAAGTGTAGACCACAGCTTTTATAGTGGTTATCAGAAATAGGCAGAAATCATTGTTAAGGGGGCACTGAGATTCTGTTAATGGTAATAAAATAATTTAAATAAGGATAGTGACAATGATTGCACTCCATAACAGTAACACTAAATTGTGTATGTGAAAATTGTTAAAGGGGCAGCTATTTTGTTATATGTATCTTTACTGCAGTTATGTATTGAAACGTGATACAAAATTAATCACCCTTGAAAACATGCTTTGTGAGAAAAGCCACATACAAAAATCAGACGTTTTATGATTCCATGTCTTTGAAATGTCAAAAATAAGCAAATCCGGAAACAGTATACTAGTGCTTGTCACAGCTACTGTGAGGAAAAGAGACTGAAAAATCCAGGAAATGACTGTTAGTGAATACAGGGTTTCTTTTTAGAATGATGGTTGCAGAACTTTATGAATATACAGAATGCCACAGAATTAACTCATTAAATGGGTAAATTGTATGACTTGTTTTATATCTCAAAAAGTGGCTTTTGTTGTTACTCTTTGGGTTTTGGGATTTTTTTAAATAAACATCAAGATTAAAAATTTTAGAACATTTTTACTAATTTTTTATGTTCTTCAGAACCTACTATTCTACTCTCTACTTTGAAGTTACACTTATGGTCTGACTGCATATTTATTTGCATAGAAGAGAAATATCTTAATATCAAATAAGCCTTATATTAATTCTGAGCTCTGGCTTCTGGGAATGTAATGTTACCAGTTCCTTGCTATCCTATTAATTATGATTTTCAACTTGTTAGATTTAGCACTTCACTTTCTTTGTCTTAAAGTGACGTGTTGGGAAAATGATTTGGTGATCTACTTCTGAAAGATCCTAGTCTTTGAAAACCCTGTGTTAACACTGACATGCGGGGTTATCATGAATCGGAATGAACTCAGAAGCAGCTGCTGTTTCATACTTTTCTTTTAAGTAAACTTAAAAAGTTGTAGGAGAAACTAAAACCTTTGGATTTCTAAAAACAAACAGAACCTCTTGTGAGATAACTACTGAATCTCCTTATTTTATAACTGGAGATACCTCATAGTTCTTTTAAAAGCAAACCTAAGAAGACAGAAAATAGGTTGGACAAATTTTTCTAGAGACTTTTTAAAGCTCTAGAGTTCTGACCATCTCTTTCACTCTCTGGAAAGAAAACTTTGCAAGACTTTTTAAATTATTAATTATTTTTTGCAGGATGTTTTTAATGATTAGAATTCCTTTGAGGAAAGATAATAAACAATCACAACTCTTTATAGGCAATTGTAAATTGAGTTCTGACTGGGTGTTTTATATTGTAAAATTTTGTAGGTGTAATAATGATATGATTTGGGGGAGGGAGGGGGTTGCTTGTTACAGACATTATCTTTTAGAGCTACATATTGAAATGTTTATAAATGAATTAATGATTTGAAACTTATTTCAGATTAATAGTAGAATAAGGTTGTGAGTAAGAGGGTAAGTTGAGCCATAAATTGGTAATTTTTGCATCTGGGTAATGGGTACAGGGATATTCACCATAGTATTCTGTTTTTATGTGATTGACCTTCTGTGTAACAAAATGTTAAAAAAAATTTTTAGAAAAATAAACTTCATAAATTGCCTGCATAAGTATGTAGATCTTGTTGGAATGTTTTGTTTTTCTGCCAGACAACCTCTATAATGACTAGTCTCCTGGTCCAGTAACGGAGGGTCTAACTTTGTTAGATTTCGTTTCCGAGAGTGTGGGATGACCCACTGTTGGTTCATTGGCAACCATCTAATTCCTCACTTTTTAGTCTAGTTTTGTGACTAACTCCACTGTGACTCCATTTGTCAAGTGGAACCTTCAGGGGCTCTCAACCCATTTGGTGATTTGGGATAAAAAGTTGAAGTATATAGGTTATCTAACATTTTCTCTCTGGTTTTGAGAAGAGTTTATAAATCAAGAAACTTAATACTGATGATTTTTAAAAAATAAGATGTTTAAAAGTGGACCGAATGAGATGACTAAAAATATTTCTGGAATTACTTTTTACTCTCAAATGAGTCTTTAAATTATTTCCATAATAACCTTTTGGATTAATATTTACTTATTAATGAATTACTGTCTTCTGTATTACTACCTTCCCTTGATATGGGCTCGGTTTTGACCAGTTCTCATTATCAGTCCTGGTGACAAAGACAAGTAAAAGAAAAGGTCTCTGAATTGCTATACATATAAAAAGGCAATGTTGGTTGGAAAACTTGTTGCATTTCTCAGATTTTACTTCACTGGGAAGAGATGTCCTTCATTAGATTCTCTGTGCTTGTTAAATTAATGTTGGTCAATGAATATTCCTTCTCTTAAAAAAGTTAAGATAGATTAGTTAACAACAAATGATAGTCTGACAAAATAGATTTTACCAAGTTAAAATGGAAAACAAGCTTGGATATTGTGTAGAACTGCTGATTTGGTATTGGGGAATCATTTGTGGTCAATGAAATCATTCGGGTTAAGGCAGTAGCCACGAAGGAATTTTAGTAAGTTTTTCATTCATATTTAAGACAAACTCATATGAGAGATTAATGAACCTTCCCTTCCTACCTGATTATATGTTAGTAGTTATGGAGGAAACTTAAATTTTGACAGTTGTTGTTGTTATGTGCCGTCGAGTCGTTTCTGACTCATAGCGACCCTATGCACAACAGCCCTAAACCCTGCTCTATCCTGCGCCAACCGCACCGCCTCTGACACACCCATCCCAATTACCCCAGTCACCGAATCAATCCATCTCATAGAGGGTCTTCCCCTCCTGAACTGTCCCTCCACCCTCCCAAGCATGATGTCCCTCTCCAAGGACCCGTCCTTCCTGGCAACATGTCCAAAGTATGTCAGACGAAGCCCCAGAATCCTTGCCTCCAAGGAATAGCTTGGTTTAATCCTCTCCAAGATGAATCTGTTTGTTTTCCTGGCAGTCCATGGTACATTCAGTACTCTTCTCCAGCACCACAGCTCAAAAGCATCCACTCTCCTTCTGTCCTCCCTAGTCATTGTCCAACTCTCTGATGCATAACAAGCAATTGCAAATACCATGACCTGTATCAGGCGCACTTAGTCTCCAGAGAGACACTGTTGCTCCTGAGTACCTTTGAGAGGTCCCTAACAGTAGACTTGATGATAAACCTGAGATGAGTGATGGTCTTAGATATTTTTATATATGTGGCACTAGTTCTTTTTTAAGGCCGTGATGTTCTCTTACTTTCCTTTTTCTTTTCTTCTTTTCCTCCCTTAGCTGGTAATCCTTTGGTCCAACAAGGTGGACAGCCACTCATCTTGACCCAGAATCCAACCCCAGGTCTGAGCACAATGGTTACTCAACCGGTATTGAGGCCTGTCCAGGTCATGCAGAATGCCAATCATGTGACTAGTTCCTCTGTGGCCTCACAACCAATATTCATCACTACACAGGTGAGTTAAAACTTTTAGGGGGATTTCTAGGTTTGGCAGAGGAGGAAATAATTAGGAATCTTTGAAAACTATCATTTAGGAAGGGTGATTGGCATTTTAGAACATGGTCCTAAATGCTGTCTCTTGACTTCTGTTTCTCGTTTGCTGTGTTTTTTATTTGTTGTTTGTAGAAAGTGTGACTGGGCAATTTCCTCTTCATTTTCTTTAAAAGCACTGTTCATTGATCGATTGAGTTCTGACATAGGTTAGTGGGAAAAGTTGAATTAGGAAATCTTGACACATCTCTCAAGGCTTCGTACCCTTTGCTTGAGCTGTTTTTCTCAATACAAGCTGAGTTTAGTTGACTTTGAGAGCTAGATATGAAATTGGTGACATTGTGTACGTCCTTGGAAGAGAACAGTGTTTCTTTGATATGGTAATTTGAGGTAAAATGTCTATGCTTCTTGTAAAAAATAAATCATCTTTGTAGCCTGTGGCTTCATGAGCTACAATATTGTAAATTTGAAAGAAGATTGTGTCTTTTGAAGTAGAGTTTAGACACTATAAAATATTGTTTATGTATTGAATCACTTAAATGGTCAGATGTGGGGTTCCCCCCCTTGCACGCACACACGTGTGTGTGTGTGAGAGAGATCAAAACGAATCTGACTGGTACAGGAGGAGATTGTCCCTTCTTCTCCAGCAGAACATCTGGTGGATTTGAACCGCTCACCTCTGGGATTGCAGTGCAGGTTCTTGCTACTACGTCTCCTCTGCTTTAAAAAAGTGAAAGCAGATGGTTTTATTGAAAGGTTGTTATGTCCATACATATGTTATATACCATCATGTTGGAGCTGGCTTGTAGCTCACCCTCCATATAGTTTGTAGAAGCAGTAAGTCACATGGAGGAGATTGCCCATCGTTCTCCTGCAGAGCAGTTAGTTAATCTGAACTGCTTACTTTTAAGTTGGCACAATTCCTTACCACTAATCCTTGTAGAATTCTTATTGAAGGTAGATTCACTAACTGGGAAACACTAGCACCCAGGCAGTGTTTTATAGTACTTCATATGGCACAAAGAATGAAGTTTTTATTGGGTAGTGTCAACAAAGAACCATGTGCTTACAGGAACAAGGGTTTGTGGTAAAAGGTTACAAGGTAGTTACTAAACTACCTTGTTTTTAACACAACCATTTCTGTTTTCTATCCCACCTGGAACATGTCTCCTTGGATCAGTAGGTTTTTAGAATGCACAAACACATGCCATATATCTTTAAACAAATAATTCCTCACACAAGCTAAAATAGTGACTCTTGCTATTTTTGGATTACAAGCAGTTAAACTTTTACAAGAAATTAAATTGTTTCTTCAGAGCAGCAGAAACAGATTTTAGACCAATCTGCAGCTTGATTCAAAATTAATTTTAATTTCTCTTTAAGGCAGCCATTGTAGTCTCCATTTTGGAGTTTCCTAAAACACTCTTCTTTTGACCACGCCACCTATGAGCTTGCATATCACCTATGAAAGAGTTTAGATAAAAATTTTGTGTTTTGGGGTTTATTGCTCTCTGAACTCTTAAGACCCCTGTATCTCAGATCTATTATTATTGATGTATGGGTATCATCTTGTGTTAGTGTTACTTGGCTGTAGACTTGTCTCATCCTCAGTATGAATTGGTTCTCATTGGAGATGTTGCAAACAGGGCCACACAAGAGGAACAGTTTGACATTTCAAAATGTTTCATCCCTGGGATGTCAGATCTACCCGGAAGTCTTAAGAGGGAGAAAGATGCAGTGGCTCCTTAAATATATAGCTTTGAAAATCCAGTGGAAGGTCACTGTGAACCAACTACTGACCACACAAGTGGTTGTTACTGTTGTGTGCCATCCAATTGGAATGACCCATAGCTGACCTTCCAGCAGATTTTCTGAGGCAAAGAGGAGATTGCCTATCCTCCTGAGGAGCAGCTGTGGATTTGAACCACATGTCTTTGAAATTGCAACACAGCTTAACTATCTAGGTCACCACAGCTCTTTAACCAAAAGATTAGTAGTTGTAATTCACCAGCTGCTCTATAGGAGAAAGATGGATAGTCTCTTCACTTAAAGATTTAAAGCTTTGAACCTTGTAGTTACTGTGAATTGTAATTGACTCAACAGTAGGTTTTTAGAATGACAGCTCTAGCTACTTAAAAAGAAAAAAATAACGTAGGGCTCAGAGTATGCAGGGCCCAGAGTGCATGCTCTACGCCCTCCCTGCGGGAGAGGGGCACGCCTGTGAGTGTGTCTCAGAATCCACTAGCAGCTCCTCTGGAGAAGGATGAGCAGCCTCTTCCCACACAGATTATAGCCTGAGAAGCCTGAGGAAGGGGTCTTTACGCATCAGCATCTACTCAGTGACAATGAGGAATTGAAAGCCCAGAGTGGTGTTAATAACTTGCTTACAGTCAAATGACCAGGCTTGTCCGTGGAAGAACCAGGAGTTAAACCTGGATGGACTGATGCCTAAGCTTCAGCCGCATTCCTGAGACACATTGATGAAGGTCGGAATAAAGAGATTTGGCCTCATTGGGCACCTGGTCACCAGGCTGCTTTTAACTGACAAAGTGGAGTTGTTGCCATTAGTGACCCTTTTGTTGACCTCACCTACATGGTCTGTGTGTTCCAATATGATTCCACCCACGGCAAGTTCAATGGCACTGTGAAGGCTGAGAATGAGAAGCTGGTCATCAGTGGGAAAGCCGTCACTGTCTTCCAGGAGCGAGATCCCGCCCATATCAAGTGGGGTGATGCTACTGCTGAATATGTTGTGGAGTCCACTAATGTCTTTACAACCTTTGAGGAGGCTGTGGTTCACTTGAAGGGTAGTGCCGAACAGATAAATCATCTCTGTTCCTTCTTCCAATGCCCCCACGTTTGTGATGGACAAGAATCATAAGATGTATGACAACTCTCTCAAGATTGTCAGCAGTGCCTCCAACAGCACCAACTACTTGGCCCCTTGGCCAAGGTCGTCCATGCCATCACTGCCACTCAGAAGACTGTGGATGCCCCTCTGGACAGCAGTGGCTTGATGGTTGTGGAGCTGCCTAGAACATCATCCTTTATCTATTGACGCTGCCAGGGCCACGGGCTGAGTCATCCCTGAACTGAATAGAGAACTTACTGGCATGGATATCCATGTCCCCAACCCAACATGTGGGTCATGGATCTGACCTGCTGTCTACAGAAAGTTGCCAAATATGGTGATATCAAGAAAGTAGTAAAGCAGGCATCAGGAGGGCTCTTAAAGAGCATCCTGGCATACACTGAAGACCAAGTTGTCTCCTGTGACTTTTAACAGTAACACCCACTCTTTCACCTTTTTTTTTTTACTTTATTATTTTTTGCACGTGTACCGTCAAATCAGATCTGACTGGTACAGGAGGAGATTGCCCCTCCTTTTCCAGCAGAGCATCTGGTGGATTTGAACTGCATTCCTCTGGGATTGTAGTGCAGCTTTTTGCCACTAGGCCACCAGAGCTCCCTACTCTTTCACCTTTTATGCTGGGGCTGGCATTGTCCTTAATGACCACTTTATCGAACTGATTTCCAGGTATGACATTGAATTTGGCTACAGCAACAGGGTGGTCAACCTAATAGTTCATAAGACCTTCAAAGAATAAAAGCCCCCTTTGACCATTAGCCCCAGCAATAGCACTAGAAGAGAAAGAGACTGTTGACTGCTGGGAAATCCTTACCCCAACTCAATCCCCCACACATTGACACAGTTTCTGTCCAGTCCCCCTGAGAATGGGGAAAGGGGCTTAGAGAGCCCCATCTTGTCATGTCCCATCAATTAAATACACTGTACTCAAAAAAAAACTTGAAGGAAATTTTTTTTAAAAAGCCATTTTAGTGTAATAACTGAAACCTAGACATTTTAGGCACCTTGTTGCAGTGAAGTGGGCTGAGAAGCCAGATTCAAATGAAGTCTGTATGATCTTGAAATGATTGTTAGAAAATGTATGTGTTTGATATTGGTGGGAAAGTGGCATGCATAAACTGTTGAAGAGGAATGTACTTGGTATTTAATCATTGCTGTGGAAAATGTAACAATCATCAAAGCATACTTTAAGTGCAACCTAAATAAAACGTAGAGAGCTCTGGTGGCTTATTGGTAAGGAATTGTGCTTCCAACACAAGGATGCAGTTCCAAAATGGCCTGTCTCCTCCCATCTGATTTATTGTCTCTGAAAATCTGCTGGAGAATCAGATAAAAGGTAATGATAAAATGTAAGCTTTTTTTAAAAGAAAAAAAGGATAGTAGACAGCATCTACCATGTTGCTATGTGTCTTCATGTGGGAACCAACTCAGCTGACCCTCCAGCAAGTTTGTTATTGTTCTTGTTAAGTCCTGTGCATTAACTATGACCCTTAGCAACACTGTCAACAGTGGATTTGAACCCTGCCCTGTCCTACGCCATCCTCGCTCTCTCAGATACTCAAGTCCACTATTCAGATCATGGTGTCAGCCATCTTGTTGATTACCTTCCCCTCCTTCACAGATCCTCCACCTTTCCAAGCATGATGTCCTTTTCCAAGGACTGACCCTTCCTAAGAACATGCCCAAAATATTAAAGATGATGAAGTTTCACTATCCTTGCCTCTGAGGAGCACTCTGCACCTTGTCCAAGATGTATTTGTCTGTCCTTTTTGCAGTCTAAGGGATGTTCTTCTGTAATACCACAACTCAAAATTGTTGATTCTTCTTCTGTCATCCTTATTCATTGTCCAACTTTTAGCTGCATAGCAAGAAGTTGAAAATACTATGGTTTAGATCAGGTGCACCTTGGTATTAGTCTTCATCATGACATAGCTCTTCAGCTCTTTGGAGAGGTGCCTGAAAGACTTTCCAGTGCAGTATATTGATTTTCTGGCTGCCGGTGTCAATGATGTTGATTATGAATCCAAGTAAGTAAAAATCATTGACAATTTCTATCTTTTCTCCATATGTCATGGTGACGAAGTGGTGAGGATTTTTGTTTTCTTGATGTTGAGATGTAACTCATATTGAAGGTGTAGCCTTTGATTTTCTTCATCAAGTGTTTCAAGTTCTTTTCATTGTCTGGGAGCAAAGTTGTGTCATCTGTATAAAGCAGATTCTTTGAAGTTTTTAGAGACTGTAAATCCTATGAGAAGAATTTTTTAAATTGCCTATCATACTCCCTTGACACAGCTGGTAAATTCAAACCACTTACCTGCCTTTGGGTTGATAGTACAATTCTTTACACACTAGGCCACCATTATAGCAATTACAAAGAATAGACAAACTAGTAGAGAAGAACATAGACCATAGGTAGCTAAAAATATCAAAGAAGTGTTGTCATTGTGGGGAGGGGCCTTGTGTTGTATTTTAATAATGTCTTGCTCTGTTTCTTCAGACAAATGGAATTGGCAGTAGTGTAAACTTCTCCATGGTGAGTTAGGAAGAGATCAAAGGCAATTCTGTAATCTAAAACCATTTTAGCAAGTGGTTATATAAACTTACTTTCAGCTGCTGTTTCACCAGCAGCATTATCAGTAGTTTGGACCGTAGTGGCAGATTTTTTTCCCCCCTGATTGTAATATACCATGGTGTTGAGTGCCATCTACTTGATTATGGCTCTTAGCAATAGAATCAGCAACAGAGCAAAGTCTTGTCCTGTCCTGTGCCGCCTTCATTATCTCCTCCATGCTCAGACCCCTCATTGTAGATAGTTGTAGCTTTAGGGGTCTTCCTTACTTTGACTGACCGTCTTTGCCTTTCCCAGCATAATGCCTTTTTGTGAGGACTAGCCTCTTCCACCCCAGTGTGCCCAAAGTATATGAGACTTTGTTTCACCATCCTTGCCTCTAAGGAGCACCGTGAACTTCTTCCAAGACTGATTTGTTTACTCTTGGCAATTCATTCCATAAGTGGAAACAAATGCTTGAAGAATGATCAGTTCTCCCAAACCTACCAGCAATGGATTTTTCTGAGAAGACAAGTGTTCTTTTCTGTAGCGATATTACAAAACACTATTCCACAGTAAGGGAGCTCTGATGGCCTCATGGCAAGAAGCTGTGCTGCAATCCCAAAGGTTCAAGGCCACCAGCTGCTCTGTGGGAGAAAGATGGGCAGTCTCCTCCTGTGCAGTGAACTGCCTCTGAAAACCTACCAGAGGGTCAGCTCTGAGTCAGTTTTGACTCTTAATGGTACACAGCAATAGCAGCATTCCACAGTAAGCTGTGAGTGCAATATGTGCACATATTCCAGATGTCTAAGTATGGCAGGACAGGTGTATAGAGTGAGTCACTGAATTTTTCTCTTTAGTGAGCTCTGTACAAAAGTGGACAGTCAGTGCTTCTGTACTTTTTGAATTGAGGTTTGCTTATAGCAATAATTAGGTTTTCATCTGTACTAAAGCTTACTCTCCATTTTTGTACCTTGCCCCTCAGGATACAAAGGTTTTTCTAAATTTCCTCATCTGAATAATTTAGAAATCCTATGTCCAGAGAGGACTAGATCAAGAACTCCAGTCTTCAATATGGATTACATCTCAAGATCTCAAGAAAATAAAGACTTTCAGGACCAGGAGACAACATCATTACTATAGGTGGAAAAAAAGATTGAAATTTTCAATGATTTCATCTTGTTTGTACCCACAATAAACACCCCTGGTACCAGCAGTTATGAATTTGGGAGATGTAAATTGGGAGTTAGCAAAAGGTATTCTGGTGGCCTAGAGGCAAGAAGCTTCGCAGCAGTCCTGAAGACATGCAGTTCGAGGCCACCGGTTGCTGAGCAGGAAGATGGGCAGTCTCCTGTGGATTTACTGCATCTGAAAACCCTCTAGAAGGCTGGCTATGGGTTGGTTCTGACTCTACAGTATACACAGCAACAACAACATGTTGTTATTACGTGCCTTCAGGTCACAGGCGACTCATAGCAACCCTATGAACAAAGTCCTGGACACTTCCTGTATAACTTTTGTCATTTCTCCAGGTTCATAGGGTTTCCTGAGGCAAGGTATTGTGGAAGTGGATTCCACTCCTGCTCCCAAGCTTGTTTTAATCAGGAAGCTTCACCAAACACTGTCCACCTCTGTGTACAGCAAGTGGACATACCAGGGTTACACAACCTAGAAGAATGTTTCACCGAAAACAATTAAAGGCAGGCCTGAGGGCTGCGGAGTAGAGTCACCCATCTTTGGCTTGGGAGCATGGATTTCCGTCCGCTAGGCCGACTGCTCACTCTCTTTCTCTATGCTGTAACAACAACATAGCATTGGGAAAGTCTGCTGGCAGGGATTTCTTCAAAGTCCTGAAGAGCAGTGATTTCAGTATAAAGACCAAGATGTAGCTGGTTAAAGCCATAGTCTTTCCATTTACCTGCTTTGCATCTGAGAGCTGGACAGTAAATAAAGATGACAGAAGAAAAATTAATGCTTTTGAGTTGTGACGTTGAAAAAGAGTGCTGAATAGCCCATGGACTGCCAAAAGAGTAGACCTGTATCTTGGAGAAAGTGCACCCAGAATATTTCCTGAAGGCAAAGATAGTGAAGTTTTATCTCACATATTTTGGAGAAGAGAGGCTATTCCTTGAAAAGAAACATCATGATTGAAAACGTGGAGGGTTCTCAGAAGAGGTTAAGACCCTCAAAAAGATGGATTAATACAGTGTCTGTGGCAGTGGACTCATGTATCAAGGGTGGCACAAGATAGGACAGAGTTAAGGTCTGTTGCTCTTAGAACCACTATGAGTTGTGCTCATCTTGACAGCACTTAACAATAACAGTCTCTAAAGAGAGAATCATTAAATGAAATAGAGGGTTTTTTTTTAAGATGTAGGTCATGTTACAGTTTTTTCTGTGTGTTAGTTTGTTTCCATGTTAAAGATTATTTTGCTTTTTGATGCAGGGATTTCCTGTAAGGAATGTCCGGCCTGTACAAAATGCAATGAATCAGGTTGGAATTGTGCTGAATGTACAGCAAGGCCAAACAGTTAGACCAATTACTCTAGTCCCAGGTAAGGAGAAATGTCTATCCATTTAGAATGAAATGACGTCCAGAAGATTTGCTTTTCTTATTGCAAAATACATTAGGTCAGTGTGTTTTTGTATGTTTAAAGAAAATCACAAAGTAGAAAAATCTCACTGATTTAACCCCAAATTTTAAAGTCTTTGTAATTTTTGGCTAGAATTTTTACTTATTATTCTTTTTGGCTTGTCATCACTCTTCCTGAAAAAGCAAATCAAAGTCTAGCAGTTTTGCTATATCTGGTGTTTCTTTCATCTATTTGTTTTCTTGAAGAAATCTTACTGCATCCCCTAAAGGTTCTATTCCTTCTAATTTTACTCAGTTATGAATTATTTTGTTTTAATTTTACCACATAGGAGTTTTTTAAAAAATGGCTTAGCTTTTATAGTTAGAATATTTCTGATGACAGAATAGTATATTTAAAATAGAAATACACTTAAAAAGGTAACTTTAAAACACTATGCCATCTCAGTTTTTTGTGTCTGAGAATTTATTACCCCAGAACAGGTAATAGTTCAACCCCAAAAACACAATAGAATAGAGTTCATAAGGGTTTTACTTGTGTTCTCAGAGGTTTTTCCCTTTTTTTTTTGTGTTTTGTTTTGGGTTTTTTTTTTAGAGGGTGAAACCAAATTTTTCCTTGGAGGCTAAGATTTTGTTTTACCTCCCTTCCCCACCACCCCACCCCACCCCCAAACTTTTTTGGCCTTCAGTCTTGTCAGTTTATCTCTTTGGTTACTCTTTGTTTTAGAATCTTTAATTTCTTAGAAAAAACAAAAAATATTGTCTTTAGAATCTGTGCTATTCTTAATAACTTGTGGTGATCACTTGTTTGGCAAAGATATCTTTTCCTCTTCCAATACTTCCAGTAAAATCAAGAAGAATATTTTATAGCTGAACTCATTACCTAAGATTGGTTACTTTTCTTTGTCTCCCTTTTGAAGCCCCAGGTACCCAGTTTGTTAAGCCAACAGTTGGAGTCCCACAAGTGTTCTCTCAGATGACCCCAGTGAGGCCAGGTTCCACAATGCCTGTGCGACCTACCACCAACACCTTTACTACTGTCATCCCAGCCACACTCACCATTCGAAGCACCGTCCCACAATCCCAGTCCCAGCAGACCAAGTCCACTCCCAGCACTTCCACCACTCCTACTGCCACACAGCCGACCTCACTGGGACAACTAGCTGTTCAGCCTCCAGGCCAGTCTAACCAAACCCCAAATCCCAAGTTAGGTGAGGTTTGGGGAGAGGAAGTGGCAGAGCTTGGATGGGTGGTGGGTGGAGAACAGATGATTATCACTTGGCCAATGTAGCTCCCTCCTTCCCTTCTCCACCTGCAGTGAGCATTGCCAGCTTTGTCACTGTCAAGCGACCTGGAGTTACAGGTGAAAATAGCAATGAAGTAGCCAAATTGGTGAATACCCTTAATACCATCCCTTCACTGGGCCAAAGTTCTGGGCCAGTGGTGGTATCTAACAACACCCCAGCTCATGGCTCTCAAAGAACCAGTGGACCTGAGTCTTCAATAAAAGGTAACTAGGAGACCTGAGGAAGCAGACATTTAAAGATATGAATAAGATATTTGTTGTCTCAGAACTGTACTATGAAGTACAGAAATAGACTATAATTGTTATGTTTTCAGAAGATTTTGTTGTAATAAAGAGAATATTCACTATTAAAAGATTATGTCTCACCTCATAAGGAATTCTGTGTGTAGATTAATGAAATGAGTTGATCAGAATTGTGTGTGATAGTCAAGGATGGCTTCATAAAGGAGGTGGTTTTTTGAGTAAGATTTTAAAGTTGAGATTTGATAGAAAAGATTTCAGGTAGAGAATATTAGATATGAGTCTTCAGTGACCTAAAGCAGGGATTGACAGACTTCTTCTATAAAATAATATATTTCAGGTCTTGTGTACTATATGAGCTCACTTGTAACTTTGTCTACTCAGCATGAAAAAAGTATAGACATAAATAAGTGTGTGGCTTTCTTCCACTGAAGCTTTGCTTACAAGCACCAAAATTTTTAACAACTTTTTTACAATTCTCATGTATCACTTTATAAACTTTATTCTTATTTTATTGTAGTTACTTAAAAATGTAAGAAACACTCTTCGTTTGTAGGCCATACAGAAACATATGACTAGCTGGATTTGTCCCGTAGGGATTTAACCATCCCTAGCCTATAGTTGAAATTGATAGGAATGTGCCTTAAATATAATGACTTCTAATGGCTGCTTATCTTCTTGATGTGTTTTTTTGGAAATACTGATCTTTTCTTTAGAATATCAGTATCCTTTTCCAGTATTATTAATTTATGAATGCCTCTCACTTCTTCCAGTGACCTCTCCCATTCCAGTGTTTGATCTCCAGGATGGTGGACGGAAAGCCTGTCCACGGTGTAACGCTCAATTCCGTATTACTGAAGCTTTGAGAGGTCATATGTGCGTAAGTGATAATCACCTGTGCTCAGGATCCAGCTTAAGTGCCTCACTATATACCTCATTTAGAATGGGAAGCTTGTGAGGCAGGGCCTCTAAAAGTATTTGGAAGCTTTTTTTAAAGGATTTTCTCTGTTTTGACCTGATAGAGAATGATAAAATTGGTAATGTAATGGGACAGATTTAAAAGACCCTAAAATAAATTAAAATCTGTGTGGCCTTACTTCCTGTGGTAGATTTTGAAATGACAGAGTAGGAGTTAGGTATGTAAAATAATAAGTTAATCAGATTGACTAATTTTCTGTCTATCCTGTCACTGGATAGATCAGGAACTGCTACCCAGTTCTCATGTCCTGGCTTTTAGAATTTTGTATATTAGTACAGACTGACTGCACATCCTTCATGCCAGAAGTTCAGAGCCAAGTTATGTTAGTGAGCAGGTAAAGGATTCTAAGACAGATAGAAGTATAAAGTGTTTGCTAGAAAAGGAGAGAAACCTGAATACTTTGTAAGCTAGAAAAGGATTAAAACCTGAATACAGTGTAGGACACTGAAGGATGAAAATAGGGTAAGAATATTTAAAACCAAACTGTTGCCTAATGATTTTAGTGAAATTGGGAAGTTAACCGAACCTAGCTCCCAGGATAACCAAAATGATCAAATGTCCTCTTTCCTTATAGTACTGTTGCCCAGAAATGGTTGAATACTTGAAGAAAGGGAAGTCTCTGGATTCAGAACCCAGTGTCCCATCAGCAGCAAAGCCCCCATCCCCTGAGAAAATAGCTCCTGTTGCTTCCACGCCCTCATCTACACCTATTCCTGCTCTGTCACCACCTACCAAAGTACCAGAGCCAAATGAAAATGTGGGTGATGCTGTCCAGACCAAGCTCATTATGCTAGTAGATGACTTCTACTATGGACGGGATGGTGGCAAAGTAGCACAACTCACAAATTTCCCTAAGGTCGCCACATCTTTCCGATGCCCACATTGTACCAAAAGGCTAAAAAATAATATTCGGTAAGTGTTAAAGAGCCTTAAGGGCTATTAACTTGGACAAGAGAAGGCAGAACTTTCTTAAATATTTTAGTCTTTCTCTTTGGAGAATGTTCTTAATTCTTGTCCAATTCTAGTGGAAAACAACAAAATAAAAAACCACAAAGACTAAAACCAAACCCACTGCCATTGAGTTGGTTCCTCCATTGGATTTCCAAGGCTGTACATTTTTACAGGAGGAGACTGCCCATCTTTCTCCCACGGAGCAGTTGGTGGATTCAAACCTTCAGACTTGTAGTTGGTGTCATAACATGTAACAGACTATGCCATTAGAACTTCTTAATCTTAGTGAAGATATCATTAAGTCAGTAACTAGTACTATAGAAAAGGAGATATTATAATACACAAAAGATAATTTTGGGGTGAGGCACCCTGATACTACAAGTGGTTAACCTATAGTAACTCAAAAGTTGGTTCAGACCTAAGCAGTATCTTTGAGGAAAATTTGGCCTTCTGCTTCTGTAAAGATTACAGCCTAGAATACCCTATGAAACGGTTATACTGTCTCATTTCGGGTCACTGTGAGTCAAATCCAGACTCTCTGATACCCATCAGCAACAACTTCAGGTTGAGGGAAGGAGATCCATCTCCTGCCACAGAACTCTCTTAGTTTCAGTAAATTGATTCTTTCTGGGCTCAGAAAAGTACTGTCCCAAGCCAATGAAATGACTAGGGGTGGGAGAGGGGCAGATATTAAGTGTTCTTTGAATCTACTATTGTGTTTAACAAAGTTTTAATGTGTTTTCTCTTACTTTCCTTTTGTGCTGCACTACAGATTTATGAACCATATGAAACACCATGTAGAACTTGATCAGCAGAATGGTGAGGTTGATGGTCATACTATCTGCCAACACTGTTACCGTCAGTTTTCCACACCATTCCAGCTCCAGTGCCACTTGGAAAATGTTCACAGTCCCTATGAATCAACTAGTAAGTTTGAAAACTTAAACTCTAAGGGTATGTCTTGCTTTTCACTCATTGAATAGTCTTAGTATGTGCCCGGAGCCTGTTGCATTTATTTCTATGTGAGTTACATTGTGATGATGATGTTGTTTACCATCGAGTTGGAACAGACCCATAGCTGACCCTCTAGCAGGTTTTCAGAGGTAGTTAATTGCACAGGAGGACATTGCTCATTTTCTTCCCACAGATGCCTTTCATACTTATAACCAATTCTGTATTTTATTGATCCTGTTTTATTCTATTTATGCATAAACTAACATGAATTATTAGAGACTTTGATTTAGGCTGCTGCATAGAAATAAGTATAATTTATTTATCACCTAGATCCTTTTGGAGAAAGAGCAAGTATCCATATTTGGACTTACACTTCAGTTAGTACTTGGGCTCTCTATAGACAGCTCTGGTGATATAGTCCATAGGCAGTTAGTTAGACTGATAGGCTGAAAGTGGCCAGTTCAGATCTATCAGCAGCTCCACAGGAAAAAGATGGTCAGTCTCCTCATGCCATTTATGGCCTCTGAACACCCACTGGAAGGTCAGTTATGAGTTGGCTCCAACTGCATAGCAATGAGGAATTCTTTTAGAGTTTGTATAGGATAAAAGACAAAGTACTCTTATAAAGTGGTTGCCACTAATAAAATACTTACTGCTTATTTAATTTCATTTTAATGAAATACCAAGTGAATTGGAGTGCTGTCTATATTGTACATCTTAGCGATGAGAGAACCCAGGCTCAGAGAAATGAAGCCATTTGTTTAAGAGTAAGCAGCTCTTGTAAGATAACAAACATGAGAGTTTTAACTCGGTCTTCTAGACTATCTTGTAATTTCTTTAAAAGTACACAGGGTTTTGTTTTGGG